CAACATGAAGAAAAGAATGCTGGATATGCTTTTCTAAAGTCCCCTAGAGTCCAAAAGTACAGCAGCCATGTAATCATTCTGTGCTGCTAGCAGGTTCTGAGCACAGCAATTAGCAAATGAGTGACATGTGGACAGCATGATTACAGATAGTTTTTTATTACCAGTTGCCAATGAAGACAATTCGCAAACAGGGGCAGCAAACGGAGTTTTGAGAGGGAGTTCTCCAGGTAAAGGAGGAGCAAATATGGGAACCTTGAGGAAAGTATCTGTCTGTAGTGTGTGTTTGGGGGTTACTTGCTGTGTGCTGAGCTTGTGTTTGTCTGTTTGTTTTGTTTGCTTGAAGGAGTGTGTGCTGTGGCCGGCAGTTGGAAGCTGTGGGTGTCTAAAGGTTTGAATCTAGAAGCCTCTGTTAATTGGCTGAGTCTTAGTCAGGGGGCCGGGCTATCAGGAAGGCCAGGGCTTTATAAAGCAGTGAGTCAGCAACCAGGGGCAGCGAACAGGGAGTTTTGAGAGGGAGTTGGGAAGGGGCCAAGGTACACTTATCTTTCTTTATAGTTTAGTTTAAAACTTTTAATCAAAAGTTAGGGTTTCTGATTTAACTAGAAACCCTATCAATAACGTAGGTAGCTGTAGGAGAGAATGCAGGCAGAAGCCCAGCAGCAGAGTGGGGGCTATCCTGTTTATTGCACTCAGTGTAGCATGTATGATTACCTGCCCTATGGACAGGTGGTGCATGTGTGCATTCGGTGCAAGAAGCTCCTGGCCCTCAGAGATCATGTACAGGCTTTGGAGGCCAGGGTGACTGAACTGGAGGAACTGAGGGAGGCAGAGAGGTATGTAGATGAGGCTTTCCAGGACACTGCAGAATTGTCCCATCTCTGGTCAGACAGCCCCTGCACTGTTAAGGAGGATGAAAGGCTCAGGGAAGGAGAGCAGTCAACGGAAGCAGAGGGAAACCTTCCCATAGTTGGGACCCTCCTTCTAGATGTTGGGGTATCCTCTCACACTGAGGTTACCTCTTTGGGGGAGGGAACTCCAGTCAGTAGGAAAAGGCAGCTGTTAGTAATGGAGATTCGATCATTAGAAATGTAGATAGCTGGGTTTGCGATGAACAAGAGAACCATATGGAGACTTGCCTGACTGGTGCGAAGGTTACGGATCTCTTGAGGCATCTAGATAAACTTATGTGTAGTGCTGGGGAGGAGCTGGTGGTCGTGGTACATGTAGGTACCAATGACATAGGGAAGGGCAGCAGAGACGTCCTGGAGGCCATATTTAGGCCTCTAGGAAAGAGACTGATATCCAGGACCTCTATGGTGGCATTCTCAGAAATGCTTCCAGTTCCACATGCAGGGCCAGGTAGGCAGGCAGAGCTTCAGAGTCTCAATGTGTGGATGAGATGATGGTGTAGGGAGGAGGTAGCTTTATAAGGAACTGGGGAAACGTTTGGGATAAGGAGAGCCTATAGAGAAAGGATGGGCTCTACCTAAACCAAAATGGATCCAG